AAACGTAAACAAACGGCGTTTTCCCCAATTACCAAATGTCAAAATGGACAAAACACAAGAGAGGATCGTATCTCTTAAGAGGCTCTCTCACTCTTAAGTTCAACTGTGCAGAGCGAGAACAAACGAAGCCCAAAGGAGAAGCAAAAAAATGCGCTCGCGAAAATCAAGAAAATCGAGGATAAAAATGGTAATAGTGTTGTTTCACTCACCCCTTTGCATTTCTTATTGCTGCAGATCCCCAACGGCGAACAAGCGGGCGAAAAACGCGCGCGCAAACACACACACAAAAAAAAAAGAAAAGAAAAGAAAAACCCTCTAATTAGAGGTATTGGCACAAACTTATGCATTTTCTTTAACCGCTTTGTAATGGCGGTACCTCTTAACATTATTTGCACTTGCACATATACAAAAACCAACAAAATTAGCCACGAAAAACGCACTGATCTGGGCTGCGCACACACACACACACACGCAATGGAAAAAAACCGACAGAGTCCCCGACTGCCACAACTTTAATTGCACTTTTCACTGTTGCGGATCGCTGTTTTGCACGCACTTTTCACACCTGTCACTGGCTTTTCCGCGGTAGTTACTCGTTGTATACAGCCTTTGACCGCCGCGGTAATTTTTTGCACAGAAATTTGTTCTTCTTATTGGAGGTTTTTTTTCGCGTCTGCTTCGTCCGGTGGCCTGGGAGTTAGTGCCTTGCCGATACATCGGTGTATCGATGTTCCAGATCGGTACGATGTTTTTAGGAACTAGCTCAATATCAATGTATCGATGTTGTCCTTGTCAAGCAAGTTTCGATGATTCGATGTATTTTTAGCTAAAAACAGGATAGATCGTTTTTACGAGTTGCCAATTTTTTAGCAGCCATAGGGAGAGGCGGAAATGAAGATGCGGTGTTGGCCAGAGAGAGAGGGGACATGGCGATGTTGTTAATATCAGCGAGAAACTTTTAAATAACTTAAAGTAGTGATCTTGACTGATGTATTTGGTACCTAATGATTAGTCGCTAGCTTGTAGCTTATTTTCCTAATTCGGAATCGGAAAGATCGTAAATTGTTGATTCTAAATTAGAACTACTTCGTTGATTTTTTGCACAACAATATATATTTATATTGTATTAATTAAAAATGATCGAACCTGCAAGGATATACAAACTTTTGCGTGCAGAAGCAACTTTTCTTGTTTAATGTAAAATTATCTAGCATAGTCTTATGCGTATTATAAAGAGTTAAAAAAACAAATAAATTATATATTATATATTTAACTTGAATGTTATTCGATATATATACATATATACAGCGGGACAATCTTAAATAACTTACAGTATCGAATAACATTAAAGTTAAATATATAATACGAATAAAGCTGTGATACGAAATTTTGCATTAAACAAGAAAGGAAGCTACCTTCTGCACGCCAAAGTTTGTATATCCTTGCAGGCTCGATCATTATTAATTAATACAATATAAATTATATATGTTTGTGTAACAAACAACAAAGTAATTTTATAACAGTCAACAATTTTACGATAGTTCCTATTCCCAATATTGCCAGTTTGGAAAATAAGCTACAAGCTAGCGACTAACATGTTTATTTATTTAGGATATACCTTAATAAACTCAATTCCAACCATTTAAAAGCCTTCATCGATACCAAAGCAAATTTGTTTAACTATTAATAGTAACTTATGAGATTGTCACTAAAAAAATATATTAAATTTTAATAACACTAAACTTAAGACGAAAACAAATTATGTGTTAATATTACTATGTAGATGCATCCATTCTTCTGCTTATAGTATTTTTCAATGAACCGTTAACTTTCGAATTCCTTTTAAGCCCGCTTCTGTATAGACCAATCTACACAATAAAGAAAATTTCAGGAAAAACGGTCAACAACAACAAAAATAACAACTAAAAGAAATTTGGCTATGAAAATGGTCGTTGTGTAAATACTTTTGACTACCTTTGTATATATCTAAACTTTGATGTGCAGAAGATAGCTTCCTTTCTTGTTTGCAAAATCAAAATTTCGTAGATCAGTTATATTCGTATATATATATATATATATATATATATGAATATAAATATATTATATATATAACTTTAATGTTAGTCGATACATTAAGTTATTTAAGATTGTCCCGCTGTATATATATTTATTTCTATATATGTATATTTTTATATCTATATATATATTTATATATCTATATATATCTATATGCAAACTTTGACGTGCAGAAGGTAGCTTTCTTTCTTGTTTAATGCAAAATATCGTACCACAGTTTAATTGAATATATTTATATTATATATTTAACTTTAATGTTAGTCGATACAGTAAGTATTTAAGATTGTCCCGCTGTATATATGTATATATATCGAATAACATTCAAGTTAAATATATAATATATAATTTATGTTTTTTTAACTCTTAATAATACGCATAAGACTATGCTAGATAATTTTACATTAAACAAGAAAAGTAGCTAATTTCTGCACGCAAAAGTTTGTATATCCTTGCAGGTTCGATCATTTTTAATTAATACAATATAAATATATATTGTTGTGCAAAAAATCAACGAAGTAGTTCTAATTTAGAATCAACAATTTACGATCTTTCCGATTCCGAATTAGGAAAATAAGCTACAAGCTAGCGACTAATCATTAGGTACCAAATACATCAGTCAAGATCAATACTTTAAGTTATTTAAGAGTTTCTCGCTGATATTAACAACATCGCCATGTCCCCTCTCTCTCTGGCCAACACCGCATCTTCATTTCCGCCTCTCCCTATGGCCGCTAGAAATTGGCAACTCGTAGCAACGATCTATCCTGTTTTTAGCTAAAAATACATCGAATCATCGAAACTTGCTTGACAAGGACAACATCGATACATTGATATTGAGCTAGTTCCTAAAAACATCGTAACGATCTGGAACATCGATACACCGATGTATCGGCAAGGCACTAACTCCCATGCCACCGGACGAAGCAGACGCGAAAAACCTCGAAGAAGAAGAACAAATTCCTGTGCAGAAGATTACCGCTGTGGTTGAAGGCTCTATACAACAAGTAACTACCGCGGAAAAGCCAGTGGCAGGTGTGAAAAGTGCGTACAAAACAGCGAGCCGCCACAGTAAAAAGTGCAAGTTGTGGCAGCCGAGAGGCTGTTGGTATTTTTCCATTAACCCAATTGCGTGTGTGTGTGCGCAGGCCAGATCAGTGCGTTTTACGTGGACAATTAAGTTAGCTTATGTTCGTGTGCAAGTGCAAATAAAGTAAAGAGGTACCGCCATTCCTAAGCGGTTATGGAAAATGCATAAGTTTGAGCCAAGAACTCTACAAATTAGTTTTTCCTTTTTCTTCTTTTTGGCCTGGGTGTTTGTGTGCGTGTTTCGCCCGCTTGTTCGCCGTTGGGGATCTGCAGCAATACGAAATGCAAAGGGGTGAGTGAAACAACACTATTACCATTTTTATCCTCGATTTTCTTGATTTTCGCGAGCGCATTTTTTTGCTTCTCCTTTGGGCTTCGTTTGTTCTCGCTCTGCACAGTTGAACTTAAGAGTAAGAGAGCCTCTTAAGAGATACGATCCTCTCTTGTGGTTTGTCCATTTTGACATTTGGTAATTGGGGAAAACGCCGTTTGTTTACGTTTTTTGTTTTTGCGATTTTTGATAAGAAAAAAACTAAATGCAAGCGAAACTTTGTTTCTAGTGATATTAAAAATTAAAATTCAAGATATAATTATTTTATACCAATTATAATTTTATCAAATAGCTTTTAGATGGATATATATAGCTTTTAGATGGATATATTTATATATTCATTGTTCTTGTTTAGAAAAGATTTAAAAAAATTTATTTTTAAGAGAAAACTTAGAATAAACTGTAAAGCTTGCAAGCCTTTTTTCGAAAATTTTCCCACATCTACCGCCCTTTTTGCTGCTGGCTTTCTTCTTCTCTCGCATATTCTCTGAACTTTTCTCTCCTTTTTATTCTTTTCCTTCTTTCCCTATTTATTTTGGTTTTATTTTCGTTGACTGATCTATTTGAAGCCTATTGGGAAAGTCGATAGCTTGTACCTTATTTTCTAATTGGGAAACGATCGTAAAATTTTGTAGCACAGTTTTATGCGCATATTACGAGTTAAAATTCATGTTTTCAATATAGAATATATATTTTGAATATAAATTTGTAAACATGAGGTGTATATTTTTTGAACATCATTTGATGTAGCCTATTCACTCTTGTTAATATTATTTAAAAACATTTTTTAAAGTCCCCGAATCAATAATCTTAAGTGTTTTTGTGTAGCCATAAAATATATTTATATTAAATTTGTATTTTTCAGAGTTTTTCTCACCTATTTCATCTTAAATTGTTCTTTAATGTAAAGTCTCTCAAGCTCAGGGCCAAGTTGTCTGCCTGCTTTACTTATGATTAATGCCAATGGCGACAATGGCCAAAAAGTTGTCACTTTTGTTGTTATTGTTGTTGGCAGGAAAAACAGGGAAAAACTGGGAAAACGAGGGCCAAAGACAAGAAAGCAAAAAAAAAAGGGGAATAAGTTGGCTTGTTTTGATGGCAGACCTTAACTGCTTAACTGCATATTAATTTCCCTCTTACCATCCGTTGGCCGTCTGTATTTATATTGGTAACAACTTATTTCGGCTTTTGGCCAAAAGTCAAAGTCCACAAAAGCAAAAACAAAACCAAAAAAAGGCTCCAACAGCAAAGAGGCGTGGCTATATGTGTTCTTGTTGCCAAACCCAGAAGTTGTTCACTTAAATTAGCTACAAAAGCGGTTTCAGTATCAGGTTTCTTTTTTTTATTTATATATGTATTAAGTTGGGAACTTAAAGTAGGATATAGCTAGTATTTAATGAAAGTAAGTTAAAAGACGAGCATGTGTATATTTTATTTTCTTTATTTAAAGTTGAAACCCCATTGATATAGATTTGATTTGCATTAGAATTGGATTGGGTTTTGTCCTTTAATAGTGTCTGCGCTGGCGATATCCTGGAGGCAGATATCGGCTATTAGGAGCAGCTGCCGGGACATGGGATGAGGCCGATCCCCTGTAGCCGCCATACGAACTGCGACTGATATGGGTAGAGATATATATAAATAACAATATCTTAATATATATTGTTATAAAGATCTTACCCAGCTGCAGCTGGAGCAGCGGCTGGCACCGATGGCGATGTGGGCAGGTGGGCTCCCTCGGCATGGAATCCATTCTTATCCGCCTTGTAGTTCACCGTATACTGCTGGCCATCGTCTCCAGTGTAGGAATAGGAGCCACGGACGCCCAGAGAGCCATGTGGCCAACCGCCACGGAACTCGCCAGTCTCATCGCGATGGATGCCATTTCCGGTATCGAAGCTGCAAGGTTAATTAGGTTGGGTTAAAGGTTAAAGCACAAATACATATACCAGGAAGTGATCAGCTTGGGTTTTAATTATTAAATATTATTTTTTAACTAACATTATTGTTAAATATTCACTTTTAGTTAGTTCATAATCTTGACTTCACTTAAATTTAAAGAATACTTCCTCAAATATCAAGTTTATTTTTACTTTCTTACTAGTTTCTTAATGATAGGTAATCTATTTTTATACTTTTTTAATTTTCCTATCATTTTGTGATTTGGAAAATATTTTAGGAATTTTTTCTCTAAAATATTTTAGAGAATTTTTATACCCTTACATAGTATTAGAATTTTAGTTAGACGCTCGTTAGGATGTGAAGGAGTCATTTGCGACCCCATAAATCATATATATTCTTGATCAGCATCAAAAGGCGAATCAATCTAGCCATCTCAGGCAGAACAAAATTTTTGACCAATTTTTTCAAAAATTTTAAAAGGGGTTTCATCGTTAAATCTTTCAAAAAATTGGCCAAAAATTGAATTTTTTATGGAGTATGCAGTTTTATTACCCTCATAAAAATTAACATGGGACTGCTTACCGAATTAAATTTAATAGATTTTTGTCCGAGTTATGAGTTTTTTAAATTTCGATTTGACAAATAAAATTTGCATATAAAAATGTACCATTTTCTGTGCTACTAAACATCCTAGTACCTTTCTTAAAAGTCCTTTTCCTTGTTTATATAAATTTCATCCCAATTCGAACTCTAAAACTTACCCAAAATTATAGTTGCCATTGGCATCACTCTGATAGTCGCTCCTCACGATCGGTATCTGAAGCTGTTGCTGATGCTGACGCTGGAATCCTCCTGCTGAACCCAAACCCAGACCAGGACGAGCATGTCCTTGGCCACTTACGCCATGATAGTGCAACTGGCTAGCCTGGGGAGCGGGCAAGTAACGTTGGCTCAAACGACCGGCCAGGATGCCGGAGGCGAGGCCCAGTAGCAGGACCACAGCGCTTAGCAATGAACGTGGCATTGTTTCACTCTTCGAAATCACTTTATACACTTGAAAAAAAAAATATATATGGATAGATTCTTGGAGATTCTTTTTGATTCTCTGGGGAACGTTCGAACGGCAACTGCTGGCAAATCCGTCAGAGCGTTTCGGTTTTATAGAGATCCCCCGAAACCCATCGCTCGGCTTTAATTGTTTTCTGTTCAACTTCTTTTTTAAGCTCTTTTAGTTTTTTTGCTTCGCTTGCTTTCTGTTTGTTGCTTCTTTTTTTGTGCTTTGATTTGGTTTTTTGTTGTTGTATTTTTGTTTTTTAATGTTTGCTATGTTCGTCCGTTTAATTAGCCAAAGTCAGAGGCGACCAGCAAACAATTTTTGGAATAGTTTATCAGGGGGAAAAAAAACAGAAGTGGGTGTGGATGAGGTTTTTCGGTTGAGGGAAAGGTTGCGGTTTTGAGAGGAGGTTTTAATGCAGGTTTTAGGGGGGTCTCAGAGGAGATTTTGTTGGAGGTTTCAGTGGAGCTTCGGACTAGTGCACATGGGCAGTACATGCCACTTGGCACTTGGTCAAAATGCTGCGGTTAAACTAATTATAGCAAAACTACACAGGGGCGCAAAAAGAAGGGGCACAGTCTTTGTGATTAATCTTTTAGTTTTAACATCCCAAAATATACTTCAATAAAGAAATATGTATTTTAATATATACTAAAATATATATTTATTCATATAGAAGAACATTTTCTGAAAAATATATTTAAATATATACTTGATAATACTTGAATACATATTTTAATATATGCTTGAATATATTTAATATATACTTAACTATATACTGGAACATATAAGTGAATGTATACTTCAAAATATACTTCAATATGTTTGAATATATACTGGAATATATATTTGAATATGTTCTTAAATAAATATACTTAAATATATACTAGAATATATTATTGAAGTATTATTATTCAAGTATGTAAACATACACTTAAAAGTCTACTTTAATATATTAAGTTATATATTAACTTATATTTTAATATATAGTAAATATAAGAATTTCCTTTAGGTTGAAATCTATCAAGATGATGTGTTATTTACAGATTTTTTAAGAAGAAGATATTATTATTTAAGTTCTACGCTTAGACCTAAATTTCGTAGCCTAAAGAAGCTACATTTTCACATATTCCATACTATTGATCTTGGTGGTTCCAGAATCTATAATCTATCCCGAACTTACCTCATTTTACCTTGCTTAGACCCTACCCTCTTTACCATTTAATCCCCCCCTAGTATAAGTCTTTCTAATCTCAGATCTACGCGCCTGTCTTTCCATTAAAAGAAGAGATTTGTAGATTTGAAGAATGCCAAGAGAAGAAGAACGTTTTTGGCGGAGTTCCGGTTCGTAGATCGCAGTTTGCGATTCTTGAGTGTTTGTTTGATGTTTCTCTTGTTTTTTTCGTTCCCTAAAAATGCCCACACTCGAGGGCCATTACAACAAAAGGCAAAGTAGCCGCCGCCGACGCCACTCGCTAAAAAACATAAAAAACAAACTTGAGCTGACAGAAGATAATGATGTTGCTGATTGGGATCAGTGGATGTTGATGGGCAGACGATCTCCAAATCCCCCCGATGCGATGATGATGATGTTGTATGGCCCGAAAACGGTAGCAAAGTTTTTTTTTTTGGCAAAGAATTCCTCACGGGGCGAATCTAATGAGTATAAATGGGTGTTAAAACACCCGAAGGTGTTGAATAAGGTTCAAAGCAGAGGGTTCAGGGTTACTCGAACTCAAAAAAAAAGAGAAAAGAAAAATGGGAAATTAAATCAGTTTGTTTAGAAACCATAATTGCTAGTGCAAGTATCAATAATAATAATAAATTAGTGCATAAATTCCAGACAGTCAAATCAATCCAAAGGGGGGATTAAAGTTTAAAAATATATATTTGCCGCATCATCGCCAGCTTTGGGATTGCTGCAGTTGAACCCGTAAACAGAAAAACCAAAATAAAAATAGAAATAGAAATACAAACTGGTTTCTAAAGCTCTTCTCTTATTATGTTTGTTAGGATTTCCCAGCGTGTAGAGAACATACATACAATATTAATTGAATTCCATATCCGCAATTATGATGATAATCGCCTCGAATTTGTTATTGTTCGGGCTGTTAAATAATGGTTAACAATAAGACGAACTGCCATTAATTAATAATAATAAATGATGAACTAATCAAATAAAAGCGTGAAAAGTGAAGCTGCCGGTAAGAGATGCTAATGATGCTTGAGGCGCATTCATTAGTTTTAAAAAAAAATTATTATTGGCGTGTTTCAGTTTATATTTCGTCATATTTTAGTTTTAAACAGTGTGACCAGACGGCATACAGTGAGTTTGTTTTGCTGCCACACTGTAAGTGAACGCTCGACTGGCGACCAAAAGTGCATAAATGCACAGTTTGCGACAACGACAACGCTAATGGCGCCTCATTATGTTTCATTAGCGAGGTGACTGTACTTCCGTCCCTTCGTTGTCCATCCAGCCATCTCTTTCTAAGCTCATAACTTATGCAGTTTTGGAGTTGAAAGAGTGGGAGAGCAAGAGCAGAGGGCCTGGCTTAAGCGGATGTAGTTTCAGTAGCAAATGAACTTGTAAATTACAATGCATCTGACACTGACGACTGACAACTGACAGCTAACGGTAGCCAGGTACACAAAGTACTAGATGTACTCTTTTTTTGAGCAAGTCTTTACCTTTATACTTGGTTTAAGTTTTTGTGAGATTCTTTATCTTTGGTCTGGGATTAGCCCCCATTGTAGTGTCATAACTGATGTAACCTGTTCATATTTCTCTGTAGCTATAAGTTTCCCAATAAAAAATCCATCAATTACTTTAGTTTTTCCTTAGAAAGAATCACTACGTTTTAAAGCCTTGACAATAGGTTTGCATATTCCCAAAGGAGGGATTCCAGGACATCCGTTTTCTCCATTAAAGTTCACTCGTCTGTGTCTAATTGAATCATGAATGAAACTGAACTGCAATGTGTTCATTTTTTACCAATTTTCCATACGAGCCCAATTTTTGTTCCCATTATTTTCTGAGTAATCCAAATAATCGCCTTAAAGAAACCAGATGAAGAGAGATGATGATGGTTGGAGAAAGGCAAACATTTGCTTAGACCAGGACTTGCAGGAGGACTCGATGCCAGGACGGCGATAAGGACCCACACAGTGACGTCGAAAAAAGGGGGGTTGGGCAGAGCCTGTCATCGCTCTTATCGCGTTTGTTTTTTCCCCCGTATTTTCTTCGTTGTCGTCGTCGCCGTTGTTCTCCATCGACTTGTTATTTCCGTTTATGATTTTTCCCTTTGAACTTTTCTTTCTCGACAAAAATGTCAAATTCAGCTATTTGTTTAATTGAAAATAAAGAATAAAAGGCCCCCAGGTTCAACTCCTCCTTCTTCCCATACTGGTCGGGGGCGTGTCCAATTGTTGTGTGTCATTAATTTAAATTAGAGCTTTCGATGTGGGCTATGTAAACGCCCTAAAATCGAGACAGCGATTTGCTACTTCACTGGATTTTCGATTCAAAACAGAATGGGGGTTGGAGAGCTGCAACTTGGGAGATTATGTGATCAGTGATAGATAAAAAGAACAAATGGTTGAGAGGTTGCTTAAAAAAATCGATTAAATGTGAAGTTTTAAATGCATATTTTTAAGTTAGTAAAAACTTAGGGGTTGAAAAAAACGTAGATAAACTAAGGTAGTGTTCGAAAAATACATTTACCATTAGAGTTGGCAAAAACTTGGATATTTATCGATTTAAAATCGATTGTAGATAGACTTTCTCCCGAGAAAGTATATGGAAAACATGGAGAGAAACTTAGAATTAGAAACAACATTACAAAACTGGAGTAGAAGTTTATTTGTATATTGAAAAACAGTTTCTTTTAATTAGATCTATCAGAACATCGATATAAATGGTTTAAAACCCCTTCACAATCGAATGTTTCATAGAAACTTCATCAAAATCTTTTTTTCTTTCCTTCCTTGTTTCAGAAAACTATTCAAGACATTTAGTTTTATCAATACTATTATTAAAGCAATAGATTCCCCCCAATTTTCTCCTTCTGCAGGACTCCCTTCTCTAGCACCTGATAATTATGTATCTTCCTTCTGACCCCCCAAAAAAAAGGGAAGCTTAACTTTTTGCTTATCGCCTACAGTCTGGCAACAATAACAATTTGTTGCTAATGCACATGGGTGTTTGTTTAACCCACCCTTTCCCCCCGAAGATACACACACCCAACCCCCTTTTTGTAGAGGAAACCCCTTCCCTGAATGGCAGTGGGAACATGAGCTAAACTACTCATTAAGCCAACTTTAACGTTTGTCCATATGAAGCTCAAGCGATTTGCCAGAGTTCAGGGGCGGCGCATTAAGAGGGGATGGGTGGAGAGAGAGAGTGAGAGAGTGAGAGAGGCTTATCCCCAGTTTCAGTGTTTGATTAAGCAATTCCAGGCGGAAATTAAATGGACACGCAAAACAAACTGTGAGCCGGCAGGAGCTGCTACCAAGGATCTCTCTGACTTGGAAAAAAGGGTCATCCCGAAAGAGAGAGAAAAAAGAGGGGTTACACAGGGAGAAACAGGCAAAATTACAGAAATATTTTATAATATTTTGCTTATTTTTATGCATTTATAATATTTCTAATCGATCTTTGATTAAAAGGGTAGAGAAATGGCATGCGATTGTTTTTAAGGGTTCTATTATGGATATTATTCGGATATTTTGGGTTTTCTTAACTTCTAAATATATATTATTGATTTATGTATATAATATTTATATATTTAATATTTATATATAATACTTGAGCTTGATTTATCATCTTAAATCCAAAAACAACTCTTCTTGAAGGCAAAACCTTCTCTTCTTCATCATCTCCTCCTTAGACTTCTCCCCAAAACCAGCTTCCATAATTTTTGACCCCCAATTAAGTGCCATTTAATATCTAAATTTGATATTGACATTTA